ATGGTCCAAGGGGCGGAGTCCCCGGAAGCGCAGGGGTTTTAGGCATTTAAATTAAGGTCAGATTAGCATCCAGAGGCCAGCCTTAGGTCCCAAGGTGGGGTCCAGGGGGCAGAGCCCCCGGAAGCTCAGGGATATGGGCATTTAATTACGGTCACATGAGCATACTTTCTTTTCTATTTCTTTCTATTTAATTCTCTTTAATATACTTTTTCAAAAGTGTGTGTGTGTGGGGGGGGGGGGTTGAGCCCCCAAGCCCGCCGTAGTAGGCCTCTAAATAGTAAATAAGCACATTTCTTGCCTGACTGTAAATTTTGATATTTGTCATTCTCCCACAAACGCATAACAAGTATAATTTACTAAAAAGTGTGGGAAAATCCCGGAAAATTAGGCCGTTTCAGCAGCATCTGTAAATCACTGGTATCAAATTAGAACAAAAAATTCACTTTTAAAGTTTTTTTTTTTTAGGGGGGGGGGGTAGCAACTGGCTGATTACTTAAACCTATGGTGTCGAGGGGCTCTTTCTTTATTTTTGTTCGGTAATAAATAAGGTTAGTTTATGTGGGTGTCACTCAGGCGCTGACATACGGGGGCGACGGACCCGCCCCCCCCCCCCCTCTTTGAAAAAAAAAGAAAGGAAAGGAAAAAGGAAAGAAAGAAGGGCTAAAAACACGAGTTACATGTAGAAGTGGACCAATAAAGGCGCTCACATATCCGTATCAGGGGAAATATACACGGGGGCTCGGGGTGAATCAGCCCCCGAAATGCCAAAAAGAGCCCCCGAAAGTCATAAAAGTAGCCCCCCGAAATTTTTAAAGTATTTTTTCCCTGATCCGTATATAGGACAAGGCCCTGGGGCAGCTAGCCATACTCCGATATTTGGGTCGTTTTCCGATCAGAACTAGCCCTATCATTCCAGGATTTTGTTTCAGAACCTGAGAAAAAGTCACCCAATCCCTTTAAGTTTCAAAAAGTAGACTTCATTGACCTGTACATAGGCTTAGGAACCGGGGGTGCTTGGGGGGGGGGGGGGGGGCTCAGATATCATTGAGCCCCCCCCCCCCAATATTTCGGCCGGGCTCGGTTATCATGAGCCCCTGATAAGTATCTGATAAGTACAATTACCCAAAGAAAGCTCAACCAAAGCTTAATATTACTCATATATAAATCTCGTAAGATAAACTGGACTTGACAAATATTGCTCAAAACTTTGTTTCCAGGAACACAAGAAGACAAAACTTCTTTGGCACATTTGTCTGAGGCTGCATGTACACCTCAAAAGAAGAAAAGTCTGAAATTTTTCGCCGCGATGACATAGACGAGGAACAAAGAATTTATTTCCAGGTGCAAATTAAAGACAAAGGAGGATCTCAGAATTATATTTTTTGGGTGGTGCCACATTTCAGTTTTTAAATATGTCCGTTTATAGGCATTACAATAAAAGTTTTGTTTTTCACGTTCCTGGGGTATTATTTTTTCCAAAGGTGTTAAATGTGTGTTATTTTAACACCTAGTACTTTGTCTTACTTAATACAAATGAACTGAATGTCTTACAATTCAACGATTTCTTCAAGTAGGCCTACTTTTATTAATTTCTTCAACTGCTTAAAATTAAGGCTACAAATGCTTTGTTACTGTTGAGCTGTAGTGTGAACAGGCTACTCAGTAATTCACATTTATAGATTGGTGCACATTATTATGCTTGATCATCCTCTCCTATCTGTTTGTTGTCATTCCTCTGTTAGTCATCCTTTATTTGCTACCTATGATATTTGAATATTCATTATTTCCTTTTATTATATAAATGAACATGTAAATACCTATATATGCAAAATAAACCCTGTAGGTTTAAAGTTGTAAAGCCCAGGGCAGTTCAACACACGCAATCATGAAATAAGGGTGTCTTTATCGAAGTGTCTCTGTAAGTTTAGAACCACGCCCTGTGCCTACCCGCTCAGGCCACCCTACATTCAGGGGCGTCGCTAAAGGGGGGGGTGTGAGGTTGAAGCCGGTGGGATTTTTTTTTATGTCGGTCGGCCAGCAATTTGTTCCCCTTCGAACTGTAACTTTTTATCGGACAAAGAAACATTTTTGAAAATTCAGACAATGATTTAGAGTCGGTACAATGAATCGTCTTCTTTTTATAATAATTTAATGAAACGTCGAAGCTCCCGCGCTTCGCGCGAGAGGGGGAAAACTGAATTCAGACAATTAGGGTTAAGAGTAGAGAACGGTATACAACAAATCGTCTTCTTTCTATAATAATTTAATGAAACGTCTAAGCTTCCGCGCTTCGCGTGGGACGGGGAAACTGAATTCAGACAAGGATTAAGAGTCGAGAACGGTACAACAAATCGTCTTCTTTTCATAATAATTTAATGAAACGTCTAAGCTACCGCGCTTCGCGCGGGAGGCCTTTCACCCACCCCCTACCCCACCTAGGGAGCGCTTTGCGTGCTCTTTAAGTGATTCGCTTGCTCAATACGCCCCTCTCTTAAATAAGATCCTACCAACGCGCCTGCATTAAAATATATAGCTATGATGCTTACTAAGTTGAAGAAATAATTTGTATATTAATGTCGTCGGCGAAAATGACCATTTGCGCATAACAACTTAGCCTTTGGCCTCGGGTTTTAAAGGGTTACATTTGTAGATATTGGGACATTTAATTTCGTCGGTAATTGGTGGCTTGTTTTGTAGGTAATCGTTGGCCTCTATACCCCCCCCCCCCCCAACTGAAAAAGGTCTAGCGACACCCCTGACGACACATAAGGCCTATACTTGCGTTTTGTGAGAGGCTCAAGTATAGTTGAGTAATTTTTGAAGAAAAACAAAACGAGTACTCGCTCTCCAATCGTATTGGTTATTTGGGAATTTCGAATGTCATCAAATATGTTTTTTTCCTTTTTACACAATGAATGTTTTGTGACTCAATTCAGGCCTGACTAAATATAATTTTTTTCGTAAGGCAACAGACAAGTAATTTAGTCATATACCTGATTAACATTTGAAGATTTCCTAAACTAATGCCTGGCCGTGCGTAACCCATATTTGAACACTAAGTTGCACCTGAAATTGCAACATGTGCATTATAAGCTCAAAATGCTTTCTTTCATACAAATACACAAAAAAAAATCCCAAAAGCTTGAATGCATACTATTTCACAAGATGTAATTAAACAATATAAATGATATTAATGATACACTTATACATGTACATGCAAATGCATGATCATTTTTGCGCTTCCTGCTCCCAGCAAGATAGTTTCCTTCTACATTTAATTTTGTTGCTGTTGTGAGTTTATATTCATATTTTTGTTATCAAACAGGAATAAATAAATGAATATGTAAATACATTTGTACAATGATAGTTGTACAATGATGATAGAAGAACCAATGAAAATCGCAACTGATCTTCCTCAATTCCTTTTCTTTTCTTCCTCTTTGTTTTCTGTCCCTTTCTCTCCTCTTTTTCTTTCACTTCCCTTCTCCTTCTCTCTCTCTCTTTGCTGAGGGGGGGGGGGGAGGGGTACAAATCGGGACAAATTGCAACTGATCTCCCCTACCTTTCTTCTTCCTCTTTTTCCCCCTTTCTCTTCCCTTACTTCGCTCTCTCTCTCTCTCATTTAAGTTTGCTGAGGGAGGCAGGGGCCTTTCGCCCCCTCCCCCGATCCACACGATGATGGTGGGATTAATCGCAACTGATCTCTGCCTCTTTCCACCCTTTTCTTTTCTTCTTCCTCTTTTGTGTTCCATTTTGGCTCTCCTCTTTCCCTTTCCATTCTTTCTCTCTTTTTTTGGCGGGGAGGGGGTGGGGTTGGTCGGGGAGGGGGGGGGGGCAGAGGCAAAGGCCTTTCTCCGCGATCCACATCTTGTTTGCAGGAAAATTGCAACTGATATCCCTTCTTTTTTTTTTCTTCTTTTTTTTTCTTTCCCTTTCCTTCCTTCCTTCTCTCTTGTTTTGCGGGGGGGAGGGGAGGCAACATCATGGGCGGCAAGGCCCTGTCGGACCCCTTTTTCTTTTTTTTCTTCCTTTCCTCTTCTCTCTTCTTTCCCTTTCCCTTCTTTTCCTTCCTTCTCTCTCTCTCTCTCTCTCTCTCTCTTTTTGTTTGCTCAGGGGCAAGGGGAGGGCAGGCGAAGGCCTTTCGCCCCCGATCCACACCGCGTTGGTGGGAAAAATCACAATTGATCTCCGTACCTTTCTTTTCTTTCCCTTCCCCTTCTCTTCTTTTCTCTCTCTTTAAGTTTGCTGTAGAAGGGGGGGGGGGATACAAGGGCCATTTGCCCCCCCCCCCCATCCCCAACTTGTTGGCGGGAAAACTGCAACTGATATCCCCCTTCTTTTCTTTTCTTCCCTTTATCTCGTCTTTTCCCTTTTTTCTTTCCCTTCTCTTCCTTCTCTCTTTCTTTTTGCTGGGGGGGGGGGGGCAACAGCCTGAGAGGCAAAGCCCTTTCGCCCTCCCCGATCTTCTTCTTTCCACTTTTTCTTCTTCTTCTTCCTTTCCCTTTGTCTCTTCTTTCCCTTTCCCTTATTTTCCTTCCTTCTCTCTCTCTCTCTCTCTCTTGCTGAGGGGGGGGGGGGGGGGGTGGCGAAGGCCTTTCGCCCCCGATCTCCTTTGTTCCCCCTTTTCATTTTTTCTTCCTCTTCTTCCTTTCCCTTACTCTCCGCTTTACCTTCTCTCTCTCTCTCTCTCCATTTTTTGTTGGCGGTGGGGGGTCAAGGCCCTCCCCCCCCCCCCCCCCCTTGACCCGCGCCGGGAAGACCTGTAGTGTCATCCCTAGCTAGCTGGCAAAGCTGAATATGGGTTATCCAGTCGTTTCATTCATTAAGTATTTTATACTTGTATTGAATTGTATACGTGTGGAATATAGAGTACGGACATTCGGTGCGGCAGGCGGACTATTGGTGCGAGACCTCTTCCTCACAGAATGTCCGTCGGACATTTGAGGCGCGCACGGAATGTCCGACACGGACATGGTGGACATTCTGTTATCCGCACCGATCGTCCGCTCTCGATCGATCTCTAATAGGCGGACGATCGGTGCGGGTAACATTCTATGCGGTCACACCCGCCCCTCGGCCTCCACTCCAATCGACTGTCCAGAAAAGGGCTTTATCGGATACATTTTTCAGTGGATTCCCGGAACTTGTCCTATTCGGATATTATTCTCGACACCTGAGACCTTGATCTTATCCTCGTAGACCTACTCTTCATTGACGTAAGTTTGAGTTTGACTTTTTAATAATACCTTTGTGGATTAACTTAATATGTCAAAGATCAGTATATGAATGTGTAACTGATCGGAACCAACTAAACTATTTAAGGCCGTAGGTCTATGGCAATAATTATACAAATTGGGGGCGATTGCATGATTGTGTTATAGTAGCAGTTCCCAGCGGAACGTGAGTCGTTGCTTACCCTAGCCGTGGGGCGTGGGATCCAGGAGCAATTCGCTCGTGAATCGTCAAGTAGCAGGAAACGGCGTGCAACTAAGCAGGCGCATCTGGATCTGGATGTGTACGATGCACTGGGCATATAGGCATCGGTAGCGAATTGGTAGCGATTCAATGTAACAATAATAATAATAATATGACAAATTTATAGAGCGCTTGTGACAAAAGTTTCAAAGCGCTGTACATGTACACAAATCAAAATTACTTCAAACAAAATCAATATTACTAATGGAATTAACATTTATACTCAAGTCAATTATTACCAAGAAAACAAAAATTACCTACATAGACCTAATTCACTTAACCAATTATCATTACAATACTTAAATTAACAAGAAAATCAAATATTTCTATCATAACTTAACAAATTGACATTACTTAAATTACCAAGAAGATCAAACATTACTAACATTACTAAAGAAATTAACAAAACATGTAAATTCCTTGGAAATTAACACATTATATCAGTAATAGTAATAATTTTAAAATGTAGCCTTATATTGGGGGCTAGTTCAGAAGTCTATCCAAACTTTGACCCGTAACTCCGGCGAGGAGATACCCTACTAAAACATACCAAAAATTAAGTAAATATTCATCAAATGTCCAAATAAATTAAAATGTTATATGTTTGTTACCTGTTTTATGTCAATTTTCTCATCTTTTTCAGAGTATTTTTCCTAAAAACGAAGACTTATAATATGCACTTTCTCATGGGATTCACGGCAAAATGCAGCACATTACAACTGCATACTATCCCGACGGTCTGGTACGGGCACGCGCGTGTGTTAACTTAGCGACTGTAATCTTATTTTAATCTTAGTTTATGGTCGCTAACTGAACACACACGCGCGCCCGCACCCCAGCGTCGCACACAGTAAAGTGTGTGCATAGTACGCATACATACATACGGTGTTGACCATTAAAAAGTCAGTGCGTCTTTGCTAGCTGGCTCATCAATTCAGTAATAATGCTCTAAACTTTACTTCACATTATTTTCTACTCTCTTAATTTACAGCTGCACTAGATGCAACCCTCTTACAGTTGCCTCTGCAATAGGTCTATATCTACAGTGAATTCTGAGAGGAAATGTTAACATTGTACAATCAATGGCGTCTTATCAACGTTGGGACACTCTTCATTGGCTATGGTCTCTATATCTTAAACAGAAAGAGTTTTGTTTTTCTCCTGCCAGAGATTATTGAAGATGAGCATCTCAAAAATAATGATCTTGGTAAGTTACCTTGAGGAATTATTCATCAGTAAGTTACAGTAACCCATTGCTTACTGTAACCTGGTGGTCCCTGTGTTAAGTCCATATTAATGAGATAATGCAATAGCCAATGAGTTAATACCCACCCACCACCAGACCAGTAGGTTTCAAGATATCAGCACTTTAGATAAGTTCAGGAAAAGAAAGATTTTACCAGAGCTTAGTTTGCTGATTGAAGTTTGGTAGCTGGAGCAAACAAGGGAGTTTCTCCATTCTACAATGGGAGAAGAAATATATGTAATCAAAATAATGAGACTATGTTCATCAATCTCACCTGTTTTTCTCCTAAATGTCAAATGTCACAACTACATGCACACTTGGCTCTTTGTTACTGTGTAAGGATGCTAAAACAGGCTTACTGTGATTGCAGAACTAAAAAGGAATGATAAGAAATTCTGTGCTTAAGTTAGAAAATTGCTTTTATGTGACCAAACGTGCGAAATGTGTGCTCATGAGTTGAATACAGCAGCCAAACATCCAGATTATGTTTGTTTTGTTTCTTTAAATTGGTGTTGTTTATATTGACATTCTTGTCTTTCAATTTATTTCTCATTCTCTTTCTTTTTTGTGCCCCACCCCCCCCCCCCCCTCTCTCTCTCTCTCTCTCTCTCTCCCTTCCTCTCTCTTCCTCTCTCTCTATTTCTCTTCCTATCCCTCTCTCTCCCTCTTTCTCTCCCTCTCCCCCTCTCTCTCTTGTATGACCAGGTACCATTACGAGTAGCTTGACGTTAGCCTACTCAATCAGTAAGTTTATAGGAGGAATCCTATCTGATCAAATCAGTCCTCGTGTCATGTTTCCCTTGGGGCTGTTTGCTACTGGTGCTCTCTCACTTCAGTTCTCGGTATCAACCTCAGTCCAGAGCTTTATCCTGGTCTCTTTCCTCATGGGTCTTGCACAAGGCGTGGGCTGGCCAGCGGTAGCTAAAGTCTTGAAACAGGTGAGTGACGGATTAAAGTTAGGCCTGATATGATCCCCCCCCCCCCCCCAGCGAAAGTCTTGAAATTAAAGATTAAAGATAGGCCCGATGTAAAGACTCTTCAACCCCCCCCCCCCCTCCCCTCTAATCAGGTGAGTGAGGGATTAAAGCTAGGCCCAATGTAATGACCCCCCTCCCATACTCTAAAAAAGAGAGACATTAAGAATAAAATAATATAAACAGTGTACAGAATAGATAGTTATTTAATTATTCATCATTTATACACATTCCATAATCGTACATTCCATGATATTCAGGTGAAAGTTCTTTTCAAAAAGGAATACTCTTTATTGATGTAGTGAAAATACCTTTTGAATGATTTATTATTAAATGCCCAGAGAGTAAACTATCCCAGTTTAATAAACCTGCATGTACAGTATGTAATAAATATTCTGTTCTATTCTTGCTATGTGCTAAAATCATTGAAATGTTCTGTTGTGCTCTTTTCTTGACCACTCCAAGATAGATCTATGGTGGAGCTAAGTAAAGGACATTCAAAGAAATTTCAAATCTTTAGATACTTTAGATTATGTCGGATTTGGCACTCATAATGCTGGCAATGTTGGTGGAAATTTAGGTTCATTTTTGTTGTGGCTATCAACTCTGAAATGATTTAAAGCTAATCTTGAGCTCTGGTATGGGAATCGTATTTTAAGAGAAAATTGCTATGATTTATTCTGGATTGTTTATCTTGCAGCAGATTAGTTGTTTGAACCAGTAAAATAAAAACAAATGCACAAATACTTACTTGGCACATCTTTGATAAAAAGCACAACTCCCATTTGTACATACATGTAGTGACCTGTGTTAAGCACATGATGTCAGGCCTACTTACCCAGATATCCTTATCTATGCCCATTAATCAGCCACTAAACTTTCAGTGTAATTTTTGTTTGATTCTGTGAGAATTTATTTTCTATTATTACCAGAACTCAAGCTTTAATATTTTTTTCTTTTCTTTTCAGTGGTATCCCCAATCTGAGATAGGCCTTTGGTGGAGTCTGATATCTGCTGCTGCTAACGTAGCTGGTACGTTAGGTCCACTAGGTCTCGCATTGCTGGCTATCAACTTTGGATGGAGAGGTGCCATGCAGTTTTGTGGTAAGCAAAGAAGTGTCTAATGATATATATAGCTCTATACATATTGTCCTCACATATGACATACACTCTGATGTTGTGATAGTCTACGAATTCAGTCCTTGATGGGTGCAAAGATCTCGAAAATCAGCCGATGAGAAGGTGACTTATCACTGGACTGTTCATGTTCCCACCAAGAGAGGGCCAGGTCAGCGCGACATCAAGGAACGGAAATAGCGGTGACCTCGGGTGACCTCGTTGCGGAAGGGGTCGTTTATTGTTTGGCCACTGATCCCGGATAATCCTGCCCTGCTCTCCACTTTTCTTGCCTCCCTGTTTAGAGGGAGGGTAGTTTTGCTCTACATATAGGGTAATGCACAATGGTTTGCTCAACATTTCTTACATCAATATACATGAACAGTCAAACCTGTCTATAGCAACCACCCAAGGGAAACAAAATGTGGTCTTTGTAGACAGTTGGTCTTTTTAGACAGGTTCCTTTTGTGCATGTTTCAATAAGAATCCAATTTTAAGGGAAACACAAAATGTGGTCCTTGTAGACAGGTGTTCTTTGTAGACAGGTGGTCACTAAAGCAGGTTTGACTGTGCATGTAATTGATATAAAGAAAAATATCTACTTCAACACATGAGTTTATCCATTTACATGTGTTTGTAGAAGAAGGGAGGCAGTCACTATGAACATGACTGACAAAGAAAGCGGACAAAATATACAGTTCATCAAGTAGACAAAGGAACATCCCTTCACTGCTATTTTAAATGTAAAAAGGTGAATATGCATGTGACACCTGTTGTACACATTTTTACGTAATAGCAGTGAAGGGATGTTCCTTTGTCTACCTGAGAAACTGTATATTTTGTCTGCTTTCTTTGTCAGTCATGTTCATAGTGAGTAATATTCCATGTGAATTGAAATATTCAGTCTCTTTTAATATGTCTCAGCTGGTGGTGCTATCATTGTAGCTGCGACGGCAGGTTTTATGATACGCAGCTCACCTACAGATGTAGGACTTCCGTCTATACAAACCTCAAGTGATCAACCAAATAAATCTACAGATGATGGTAAGTGAAGCAGGCTTACTTTCTTTTAAAGCTCCTCTGAAGTGTTGGGACCCCCAAAGTCGCCGAAAATTTGATGGCAAAATTTCACTTAAACACTTGACTGCTAACCACGTACATGTCAGTGTTCTGGCTCTTGCATGCCTGTGCGCACCATGTACATGTACATGCTTACTGTATTGCATGTGCAAGACCGTAGCACTGCATAAGGCCTAGCCCTACTGTGTAAATTTGCACTGCAATGATGTTATACAGGTCTCGAACAGTAGAAGGTGCTCTTCCATAAAAATACCAGCTTTTTTGTGTTCAGTGAACAGTTTTTGTACAGTACAAAATTGCTGTAGCAAAAGCGGTATGAATGCGTTTTAAGCCGCAGTCAAGTGGTTAAATTGTATCATAATGTGAAAGATTATGTCATTTAAGACGCACTTCTGCAAAGATTTCCATGTACAAAAAATGTGTTTGAAGACTAATAACAGAATACATGATTTGGGTTTTCTGTTTTATGCAGAAAACCTATGAAGTGATGAGTGCATACATTATGTTTGGGTCCTTAAACAGTAAACTTCAGTGAAATCTGAGAAGCTGTTATATCAGTGAGGTTGGGTATAAATGAAGAACTTCTAGTGATAAGCTACATGTATAAAGTGGACAATAAAACTTACGATATGTTCAATTATATAAAATATTCATTTGAAGGTAAAAAATACAACTCAGATTCTTTATGGGTTGATTTTAAGTTCATGGTGAAATCATATTTGGAAAGTGTGATTAACTATACATTTGGAAAAGAAGGTGAAGTTCAAAAATCTATCAATGGTTGCTGTAAAACCTTTATTTATTTTTTACTGTATGTTTATATGTAATTGCTAATAAATACCTCGAAAGAGGATAATAATGATAATATGTCTTGTTTACCCAGGGTAGCCTTATCAGTATTCATACTGTTCTCCCTGAGGGCCCTGCAATCATATTATTACCCCGGTCATCAGATTCAGGCTTACCTGCATACAATGTATGCACAGTCTCCACTCCCTAGGGAGCATTCCAGCCAGGCATCATTTTTACAAGCTCACACTTGCTAATCTAAGCACATTAGCTTTCGCCTCCTACCGGGTACCCATTTAACACCTGGGTGGAGAGTGGCAAATGTAGATCAATGTCTTCCCAAAGGACATTAGTGCCGCGGTGAGACTTGAACCGCGGACCTTGTGATCCACAGTCCGGTGACATATCCACTCTTCCATGACACCTCTACAAGATGAGAAAAAGAAGGGGGAAAAATAATAATGTTTGATATTCTCTGTCCTTCCAGCAGGAAGAGGAGATTCATCCAGTGTTCTGCAGAACCTGTGGGCCATCCTGTCAAGTCCTGCACTCTGGGTTATATCACTACTCTTCCTCATCAGTAACTTCCTTGTCAATGGTATCACAGACTGGGGCCAACTCTTCTTGATACAAGAGAAAGGTCTTAGTCATACAACAGGTGAGAGATAGGGTAAGACTGGTCTGAGACTAGAGACTGGGGCCAACTCTTCTTGATACAAGAGAAAGGGTTTAGTCTTACAACAGGTGAGAGATAGGGTAAGGATGGTGTAAGGCTAGAGACTGGGAAAAAACTTGTCTGAGACTAGTCTCCATTTGATAGCGAAGCAAAGTCTCAGTTGTAGAATAGGCCTATGTAAGAGATGGGATAAGACTGGTGTGATAGTAGAAACTGAGACCACCTCTATTTGCAGGCCTGATAAAAACCCGATTTAAATCGGTTTCCCGATTTTTTTTATTTTTCCCGATTTTTTCCCGATTTTTTTTTTCTTCCCGATTTAAAAAAAAAAAAAAAAAAAAAAAAATCCAGATTTTTTTTTTTTTTTTTTTTTTTTTTTTTACTTGATTTTTTTTCTCCCCTATTTTATCATGATTTCCCCGATTCTCCCCTTATTTTCTCTATTCTTCCCTATTTTCCCCCAAATTTTCTTACTCGAAAGGGGGGAATGTTGTTAGATGCCATTTTTTCCCCGCGAATCCTCTTTTTTTTTTTTTGTCAAGGGGGGCGTGGTTGAGGGAAAAACGAAAAACCTATTTTTTTTTTAGTGCTCACTATCACCCCTGATTTGGTAGAGAAGCAAGGTCTCAGTTGTAGAATATGTTAGATATAGGATAAGACTGGTATGAGACTAGAGACTGGGACCACCTCCATTTGATAGAGAAGCAAGGTCTCAGTTGTAGAATATGTTAGAAATAGGATAAGACTGGTGTGAAAGTAGAGACTGGGACCATTTCTTTTTGATACAGTTGGCCTAGGGAGCACACTTTATATTCATTGAAGTGATATATAAGTTTGGATCAAACAGACGATATTATAAACACTTGAAAACATGAACGATGACAATTGGGGTTCGAGAGAACCAGGGGGCCGTTTCTCGAAACCGTCATAACTACAAGATCAACGACATCTCGCCACTGTCACGCAACTTGTCAGCTAAGTGTTTCACGAAGCCGTCTTTGCCAAGATGAGCGACAACTTCCGCGACAAGCGAGTTGTCACTGCTCCGAACCTGTCATATCTTTTTAATTGCTGTAAAGCGCCATCACAGTCAGTTTGTTGCCATTCCATGGGCCGCGAAATGGACGATTAGTTTCACTATCATTTTGAGAAAAATGTAGACGAGTTCGGTACGTAATTCTCTGGGATGCGAAATGCAAATGTACAAAAGTGAGAATACAAATTATACAGAAACTTTAAAAAGCTGAATATAAACATTAAATCACAAATCATTAAACTATAACATATAAATAAGAGAGGTAAGAATGTTACACACCGTTTTCCATAGTCGATCCATAGTCTTTTCTTAGGATACCGTCATACCTTTGGGGCCTATGTGCATTATTTTTTCCTCTCTATTTACTTCTTCCAAATTATATTTTCAATATCAAATAAATTATATAACGAGTATTTATGAGACTCTAGAATAAAAACTGGCCGAGAAAAGACATTTTGCCTAAAATTCCTCGTCACAATAAACAAAAAAGTACGTATTGATAAACTATCACATTACGGTATCCTTCAACTAACTTTTGATTCGACTGTCCAAAAAAAAACACTCACCGGTTTTTCTTCAATTTAAGAATCTTTACAGGAATATGCAAATCGTTTGATGATGTGAATATGATAATGACACTATTTATATATATTTTAGGAGAATTTATATGTATATATTTCTTTTTGAACAATTTTAGCCCCAAAACTTGTTTTGGGTTATTCTTGATAAATCAAATGGATCGTGACAAAGACTATGTTCTTGAGCTGCTAGTATCGCGATATATCGATATCATGTCTGTCATGGCTTTGTGAAACGGTTTATCCGCTTCATGACATCTCCGTAGGTCGCCGACAAAGATATGACTGTCATGGAGTTGGTTTCGAGAAACGGCCCCCAGGGTCACAGGGTCATAACAATGAAAATTCTGAAAATCTTGTTAATTTTGTTTTCCAGGTAGTTCTTTTACCAGTGCGTATTCCCTTGGTGCTACAGTAGGCAGTATAACATCTGGATACATCACAGATAAACTAGTAGCAAAGGTACGGTACAGGTGTTTCCATTTACTCTACCACTAGTAGCAAAGGTACGGTACAGGTGTTTCCATTTACTCTACCACTAGTAGCAAAGGTACGGTACAGGTGTTTCCATTTACTCTACCACTAGTAGCAAAGGTAAGGTACAGGTGTTTCCATTTACTCTACCACTTCGTTCTGACCCACCTGACACACTTTAATCTCACCCCCTTTTTCCCTATTCATTTTCTACACACAGGCCTTTTCATGAGACAGTTGTTGTGACTGGCTTTTTTTGCTAGTGAATATTCATGACATTATGCAAATTATTAAGATCGCACAGTTCTCGAGCGCGGTCATCTTTTTGTCGCACAAAAAATACGATCAATTGGCTTTAGCGCAGGAAAGTCTGAACAGCTCGGGCTGACTAATCACCAAGTAATGCTTGCCCTTAGGCTACCAAGCCAGTCATTGTGTGAAATGTTCTTTGATAATGAGAAATAACGAGTTTGGGTAGGATTGCACAATATCATTATTTCATAAATAAATGTTGAATATCTGAAAACAGCCACAAATAAATTGAACATTATGATGGGCTGGTGGCGTGCGCCTGTAATCCAGCTTACAGTGGAAGTTACAAACTGATTCAGCCGAGGACGCAGGTTCGAAACTGAGTCACGTCTTTCGGATGGTGACGTTAAAGGTCGGTCCCCAGACGTAAATAATCATATCTGATTGATACACGTCTGTAAAAACCAAATACACACACACACGCTGGTAATTGTAAACTACTGCAGAATATGTTGCCTAGTAACCAAAGATGTGGCAGAGGAAGGAATGGTCGTATATTTAGGTCAGTTCATTCACTGACATGTGAGGCCCCCCTCCCCCTGAGTTTACATAAACAAATAATGTTGGAATTTACAGGCTTAATGAATGCCATCATACAGTGTGTATTATATTAACACTAATTAGATCAATTTATGTAGTGCATCTATTATATAAATATATATAAATGTATTCTCTACTGCACTGTGATGAAAACCAAACTACCGACAGTGCTACTTTACAGATACAGTCAAACCTGGTTTAGTGACCACCTGTCTACAAAGAAAGACTACATTCTTTGTTTCCCTTGAAAATTGTTTCTTGTTGAAACATGTACTAAAAGAACCTGTCTACAAAGACCACTTGATGTGTTCCCTTGGGCGCTCGCTATAGACACGTTTGACTATATTTATGTTTCACATTTCTTTCATTATTTCATTATCATTTTTCTAAATTGAAAATTAAAATATCATGTTACAAATGATATTACATTGAGTCACTACACACAACATAGAGACTGTGTGTTCCTTGTATATGTATTTGATATCTTGGCTAGCTGGCCTGTTAGAGACTGTTTGTTCTTGTATATGTATTTGATATCTTGGCTAGCTGGCCTGTTAGAGACTGTGTGTTCCTTGTATATGTATTTGATATCTTGGCTAGCTGGCCTGTTGGAGACTGTGTGTTCCTTGTATATGTATTTGATATCTTGGCTAGCTGGCCTGTTAGAGACTGTGTGTTCTTTTTATATGTATTTGATATCTTGGCTAGCTGGCCTGTTAGAGATTGTGTGTTCCTTGTATATGTATTTGATATCTTGGCTAGCTGGCCTGTTAGAGACTGTGTGTTCTTTTTATATGTATTTGATATCTTGGCTAGCTGGCCTGTTAGAGGCTGTGTGTTCCTTGTATATGTATTTGATATCTCGGCTAGCTGGCCTGTTAGAGACTGTGTGTTCCTTGTATATGTATTTGATATCTTGGCTAGCTGGCCTGTTAGAGGCTGTGTGTTCCTTGTATATGTATTTGATATCTTGGCTAGCTGGCCTGTTAGAGACTGTGTGTTCCTTGTATGTATTTGATATCTTGGCTAGCTGGCCTGTTAGAGACTGTGTGTTCCTTGTATATGTATTTGATATCTTGGCTAGCTGGCCTGTTAGAGACTGTGTGTTCCTTGTATATGTATTTGATATCTTGGCTAGCTGGCCTGTTAGAGACTGTGTGTTCTTTTTATATGTATTTGATATCTTGGCTAGCTGGCCTGTTAGAGATTGTGTGTTCCTTGTATATGTATTTGATATCTTGGCTAGCTGGCCTGTTAGAGACTGTGTGTTCCTTGTATATGTATTTGATATCTTGGCTAGCTGGCCTGTTAGAGACTGTGTGTTCCTTGTATATGTATTTGATATCTTGGCTAGCTGGCCTGTTGGAGACTGTGTGTTCCTTGTATATGTATTTGATATCTTGGCTAGCTGGCCTGTTGGAGACTGTGTGTTCCTTGTATATGTATTTGATATCTTGGCTAGCTGGCCTGTTAGAGACTGTGTGTTCCTTGTATATGTATTTGATATCTTGGCTAGCTGGCCTGTTAGAGACTGTGTGTTCCTTGTATATGTATTTGATATCTTGGCTAGCTGGCCTGTTGGAGACTGTGTGTTCCTTGTATATGTATTTGATATCTTGGTTAGCTGGCCTGTTAGAGACTGTGTGTCCTTGTATATGTATTTGATATCTTGGCTAGCTGGCCTGTTAGAGACTGTGTGTCCTTGTATATGTATTTGATATCTTGGCTAGCTGGCCTGTTAGAGACTGTGTGTTCCTTGTATATGTATTTGATATCTTGGCTAGCTGGTCTTTTAGAGACTGTGTGTTCCTTGTATATGTATTTGATATCTTGGCTAGCTGGCCTGTTAGAGACTGTGTGTTCCTTGTATATGTATTTGATATCTTGGCTAGCTGGCCTGTTAGAGACTGTGTGTTCCTTGTATATGTATTTGATATCTCGGCTAGCTGGCCTGTTAGAGACTGTGTGTTCCTTGTATATGTATTTGATATCTCGGCTAGCTGGCCTGTTGGAGACTGTGTGTTCCTTGTATATGTATTTGATATCTTGGCTAGCTGGCCTGTTAGAGACTGTGTGTTCCTTTTATATGTATTTGATATCTTGGCTAGCTGGCCTGTTAGAGACTGTGTGTTCCTTGTATATGTATTTGATATCTTGGCTAGCTGGCCTGTTGGAGACTGTGTGTTCCTTGTATATGTATTTGATATCTTGGCTAGCTGGCCTGTTGGGGGAAGGTGTGCTTTGATGCAAAATTGGTATGGATAGTAGTACAACTGAGAAATCCAGATTTTAAGCTTATTTTTGATAATTCTGGCGTACTTTGGCCGAATAGACCCCCAACAAATATATATACCAGTAAGATGTGAGGTTCATGTAGAGGTGTAATTCAAATGCTTTCATTTTATGTTCTACTTTTTAAATAGTAATTAATTTCATTGAAATTGTCCTTCTTTTTGTTGTTTTACATGTATTAGTATGGTCGGAGAAGAAGAGGAACATCCCGGTATCCATGGTTACTGCTCATGGTTGCGTTGAATCTTCTGTCACTTCATACCCTTAGAAACTACATAGATAGAGAAGCATACCAGGTAACTAACCCCTACCCATTGTGTAGGTAAAGTAGTAATAAATGAGTATGTGTGCTTCGAAACAAAGTGCCATATTGTTAATTCAATTCAATTCAATTTTATTTTGCCAAAACAATTTAAATGAATATAAGATACATGTATGTACATGAAACTATAGATTGTTACATGAAAATAATGTATATACATGTACATATATATACATTGGGACAATATAAAAGTTGATTGGCAGGTAGCAGCCAGAAAGGAAATGAACCTTATATTAGTGGCCGACCTAAAGATGAATAATTTAAAATAAATATGAGCAGGAGTTACAGGGGCTCATTCTATTGGTTGGTCTATGTTTAGGTATAGCTCAGAAGAGTTGTGTAGTGTTGTTTGGGATCTAGGCAGCAGAGAACTCATCTATTTATCTCTTTATTTACAGGAGCTCATTCTATTGGTTGGTCTATGTTTAGGTATAGCCCAGAAGAGCTGTGTAGTGTTGTTTGGGATCTAGGCAGCAGAGAACTCATCTATTTATCTCTTTATTTACAGGAGCTCATTCTATTGGTTGGTCTATGTTTAGGTATAGCCCAGAAGAGCTGTGTAGTGTTGTTTGGGATCTTGGCTGTGGAGAACTCTCCTATTCACCTATCCGGGACGGTCCATGCCTTCGCAGCTTTAGCTTCAAGTGGTGAGTTTACACAATTACCTAAACAAGTGTGTGTAGGCTATTGTTAGAACACTGCAGACAGGGTTCATATGCCTAAACAATTAACATGAGACGATATCATATCTTCATTCAAAATGTGCTTTTTTGGTTGAATATAATCGCTAAACTTCTGTTTTATTTACTAATCAGCAAAAGAAATTAATGAATCAACAATGTGAGCTCATCTCCAACAGAAACTTTATCAATGGCTGCTTTTAAAGAATAATGTAACAGCCATTGACAAATCAATGCTCTTACGATGTACATCCTTCTCTCAGACAGCTGACTTTTTCATTGGATTACCTTTCTTTCCGCTGTTACAAGCAAACATGATGTGGCACGTAATGGTTGTGCCCCTGGATGGATAGCAAACAAAACAATTTATCTACCAAAATCTCTGGTAGAGGGGAAATTTTAGAGCAAGAAAGTCCGGCCCGAGAATTGTAAACGAAAGGGGTGTATTTGACTTTTCACCCATAGACTTCTTTAAAAATGGGGATGTTTTTTCTCTCTCTCTCTTCGAACTCATGAACAATTGAAAAAGGGGGTCAGACATAGAAAGGGGATGTTTTTCTCTCTCTGTCCTTAGACTCCTGAGGAATTAAAAAAGGGGGTTATAAAATATCTTGAATATCATAGATAGAGGGAACATTGAGCAATGTCCCAGATTTAGGGGGTCTCAAAGGCAAGAAAAGCCTGCATGATTGTTGATATGGTATCTCACTGTGTAATCCAACAGATAATGAAGCAGAACATCACTAAATTATATCTTTGTCACAAATATGTTTTTAGAAAGTATTTATAGTCGTTTTGGTCTAAGACAATAAAGAAGAACAAAAAAGACGTTATCACATTGTTCTCGCTCCAGTTGGTGGTGTATTAATCTGATCAATAATTGGAACAATAACGGACAGGGCCTATTGGTCGATGCACACAGGTGCTCAACTAATTTTAGATCCCTTGTTGACCATACTTAGCGAGACAAATGAATATCACTAGCGATACTTCATATGAAATGAGTAATATATTTAACATTAAAGGTAAAGACTAGTTTTGGAACGCCCCTCTCTCAAAAAATTAAATGGAAGCTCTTATTACCAATCATGTGAAAGAATATGTTTTGACTAATACATGATGACAAAAATTTCGCCAGGAAACCGCCTACTAATTGATATATTTGGTAAATTAGTTTATCTATTGGGATGTGGTAGATATAACGCACGTGTGCGTCGTCCCATATACATCTTTCTGTGTACAGTGCTTGTAACTTTACAAAGACTGGGCCAATTTTCTTATCATTTGATGATTCCAGAACCTTGCAGTACACACCAATACTTACAATGTATATGCTAGATGATCAACCTTTTCTGATTGATTCCACAACGTTTCATTCACAATGCAATCGCATGACCATAACTGGTCTTTATCTTAAATATAAAATATGTTTTCCCATTTGTTTCTCTCTTGTTTCTCTCTCTAGTTGGCGGTGTATTAGCTGGGCTACCTCTGACTTACATCTCACAGCATTACACCTGGTCACATGCTCTCTATTGCATGGAGTCAGCCTCATTTCTCAGCCTTGTCGTCATGCTTCTTATACGTAGGATGAACATGAGAATTGGTTACCAGTCTCATCAAAAGACAGACTAAACTTCTTTTCATAACGTAACCTAGCCATCCTACCGCTGCATTTGATTGGCTCAATAGGAACCTATACGTCATGCGCTTGTCATAAACATTCATGATGTGCACGCACGCAGAATCTGATGCGATAATTTATCAAATATGAGACATTGCGACAAAATCGGGTCGTAACTTGTCTATATTCATTGTGACATACTGGTTAGTCCAGAATTTGGCCGATTTAATTTTGATCGCTACCAAAGCAAATATTCATATATTGAAATATTGATATGCAGCACTAGGATGGCTAGGATACATTTTAAAAAGACGCCGACCTGGGACCCGTTTCTCAAAGCCTTTTTTCAATGACAAATGACAAAAATCAGTGAAAAATCTGCTGATAACCAATCCGAAGCAAGGATTTCACTAGCTTATAACAGAAACTGTAATTTGTCACTGATGACAATTTTTGTGAAATGGGGCCCTGATGGAAGTCAAAGAAAGACAGGGAGAAGTAAACACAATCAGAGGCTTAATTCCATCTTTTCCTCACGTTTAGTTCCCCATGCAAGTGAGAGCCTTATTCTTTACTGGAAACATTGGTATCATACTAATTATGCTTTTCTATATCTTTATTTTTTATACGCGTTTGATGTTTCTCATGTTACAGTCATGCAAATCGACAGATTGAAAGTTGAAAAAAAATTGTGATTTATTTGCAAGAAATGACAATTATTATGTCCGTCTCAGCCTACTTCCAATATAATGCTAATCTTGAGCTCTGGTATGCAGGCGCGTACACAGCGGTGGGGGGGGGGGGGGTTATTGAACCCCCCCTCCCCCCCTCAATTTTTATTATGAGTTTGGTTTTTGATGAACCCTTCCCCCTCCATCCCTCATATTTGTTTTTAATGATAACAAATAATGTGACCTTACCCCCCCCCCCCCCCCTCCCCTAACTGAACGTAATATCGGTCTGAAATTTGCATGCAAGTGAAGTATAGAATACTATGGTAATTTCAATTTTTCGAAAAATTCAGTCATTTGCATATTTATGCAATCAAGTATTTTGACCCCAAAAACAAACACCTAAACTAATCCCCGCCCCCCGGGGGCTATATAAGGTTAAAGCCAAATCTCTCGCATATGGCCATGCTCTAGAACAGTTTGATCGGGAATAAAAGCACCCCCTTTTGTCCCTTGAAGATGTATCCTATACATGCATGTATTCCTTCTTTCTGTTTGTTTGGTGGGGGGGGGGGTGCTCCCCATCCCTGTCTGTAACAAAACAAGAAAAGCAACTATGTGTTAGTTGCAACATCATGTCTTTGTGAGAAGCAAATGTTACGATGATCAGGCAGTGCAATTATAAGTAGAGATTTTAAATCAATCTTGTTATTTGGGGAAATAATGCAATATATTGTAGCATACTCGGTCCAGTATTAAGTAAGACGTAAAGGGTGTTATAGTTGATTGTGAAATATGTACAAGTACATCATGAGATGTCAGTCAGTCAGCGTTGAGCTGTCGTACATCATGAGATGTCAGTCAGTCAGCGTTGAGCTGTCGTTGCGACAGGTACGTTACAAGGAACGAGATAAATTTTCTTGAACTGCAGATACTGTGTGAGTGTCGTTTCTTGAGTTCCTGTCATACATTTAGTGGTTGCGGGAATGAGTGAAATGAGAGCTAGTCCACGTTTTTCTTACACGATATACTTTTGTGAGAGGTTGTTAATAGGGACTTTTAGATTTGCACGACGACAATAGGTCTATGCTACGATCGACATCCTTTTAATGCACTGCCTTGAATGGACGTCACACGTATCAGTCCACGCAGGCTTTGGTATTTTTATGTGTACAAACCCCCCCAAAACCCCCCCCCCCCCCCCCTTTGGATTTTTTTTTTTTTTTTAAATTAAAAAAAAAAAAAAATTATCCCCATGACTGACCTAAACCAGGTGACCTTACCCCCCCCCCCCCCCCAAACGGAGCAAAATGTCAAATTTTCAAATTTCGAGGTCAAAAAAGAAAAAAAAAGTGTCCTCTTACCCCCCCCCCCCCCCGCTTATTATTCGGTCGGCTGAGTCGTTGCGAAATTTTCGGCCCGATTTATAAATGTTAAACCCCCCCCCCCCTTCAAAAAATCCTGCGTACGCGCCTGAGTCCACGCAAATCTAAAAGTCCCTAATGAATGATTGCGAGAGCGTGGACCGGGTTTTGAGAGACTGCACATGCAAGGCAGAACGCTACCCCGGCAGAGCCTGGTTACGCCACAATATTAATCAACCAATTAAAATGTTTCGTTGTTGTTTGTCTGTTGTACTGACTGTGTATATGCAAGGTTAAATCAAGCTAGAGATGCATGAGTAGGCAGTATCCCAATGTCAAGCATGAATATTCATAAGGTGGTCGTATATTAGGTTACAGATCAACATTGATGCATTATGAAGAGCATGAATATTCATAAGGTGGTCGTATATAGGTTACAGACAGTGGCGGATCCAGGGGGGGGGGGGCCCTCCCCCTTGAGAAAAAAATCATGTAAAATCACGTGATTTTTACCTTTTTTGGGGGTTGGGCCCCCCCCCCCCTGGCGCTCAAGGGGGGGGGGGGGGGTGCAAATTGAAATTTTTTTGAGGAGAAAAAAAAAATGTGCTCACTACCCCCCCCCCCCCCCCCCCCCCCCCCCCCCCCCCCCCCCCCCCCCCCCCACTGAGCGAATTTTCGGCCGGCGCGATGTTCAAATTTCCGGGAGCTAAAAAAAAAAAAGTTGGGCCCCCTCCCCTAAGAAATCCTGGATCCGCGCCTGGTTACAGATGCATTATGAAGAGCATGAATATTCATAAGGTGGTCGTATATTAGGTTACAGATCAACATTGATGCATTATGACGAGCATGAGTATTCACAAGGTGGTCGTGTATTAGGTTACAGATCAACATTGATGCATTATGAAGAGCATGAATATTCATAAGGTGGTCGTTTATTAGGTTACAGATCGACATTGATGCATTATGAAGAGCATGAATATTCATAAGGGGGTCGTACATTAGGTTACAGATCAACATTGATGCATGAAGAGCATGAATACACTGTTGGTCATAATGGTGGAATAATTATTTTTACCCCAATTTATTGAATGATTTTGACAATGATTTATTCCAACATAAACAAATCTTCTATGTGGGCTTGCCTTGAAACATAATGCATGGCCCTACAGAGGATTTTTTCTTGTTGGGGACTGGGGGAAAATGCAATGAATTATTGAAAATTTATTGCATTTTCTTTGTTTTTTCGTTTTTGTGTGGGGCGTCGACGTACCCTAGCGCCTGCCTGCGTACAGTCATGGTTCAGTAGCAATTAAAGCACAGGCCTCGTTACTGTGAGCCCCCAGGATCAAAACCGTGTCGATGTGCTATATTAGTGCCATTTTATGAGGCGTTAATCCCCATTACTGTCAATTATGACTTAAGGATGAAGCTAGGTCCCCTAGTTGATTAGCATAGTACCACACACATGCTTTAGCAGTTACGCAAAACAAACACTCCCCAATTGTCATTCAATAACATCTGAGAATGTATACTATTACCTAGATCTATTGGGAATAAATCATTGTCAAAATCATTCAATAAATTGGGGTAAAAATAATTATTCCACCATTATGACCAACAGTGTATATACATTAGATAAGGTGGTCGTAATTTGTTGCCGACCTCCACTTGCCATCCTATACAAACAAAAAATAGCTTCAATGCGAAATGGTCTTCAGTTTCCCCAAAGCGTTTTTGCCAACGTGATGATCATACCACGGCACACAACATAATCACTAGAGAAAATATAACTCCTCTAGGCGGTCCAAAGAATGTTAATTACACACCCTGCCAGTCAATATATGTTATAATAGATAGCCTTGATTAAGACTAATGGCATGGCGTAAATGTTCATAATTGAATGACACACGCCCTTAAGACTGAAACAACAACAACAACAACTCTAATCTCTGGGGAAGAGGATAGTTCCTGGGTCTCAATTACCTTACAAAGATATTGCGCATGCGCTATAAGCGTGAACCACTTTTGTACAGGATACAGAGCTTGCCTGCATTCTTTGCCTAACTTGAAAGAGATATCTTCCAACTTTTCCTTCATTTCTTTCTTTCTCTCCTTTCTTCAATAATGTTTCATTCTTTCTTTCTTTTTATCTTTCTCAATTTAATTGTTTGTTAGTGTGTTTGTTTGTTTCTTACTTTCTAGTTCTTCTTTCCTTTTCTGCAAGATCTAGGCCTACGAGAAAAAACTAATTGCAAGCATTTACAATTAAAGTCACTTCATGAGTCTTCCACTCCCTCTTATACTAGACATATGATTCCCTCCCCTTAACCTACCTCAATTCACTTTTCAAAACATAGATTTATATTGCGTTTCCAGTGGCGGATTTAAGTAAGGGGGCACGTGGCAAAAAAAAAATATGCAAATGGCTGACCTAAAAAGGTGGCCTTACCCCTCCCCCAACGGAGCAAAATGTCAAATTAAAAAATTTCGTGACCCCCCCCCCCCAAAAAAAGTGTCCTCTTACCCCCCCCCCCCCCCCCCCCCCCCCCCCCCCCCCCCCCGCTGAGTCGTTGCGATTTGGGGGGGACTAACAAATAATATATATGTGTTCTCTTCCCCACCGTGTGCCCCCCACCCCCGGCAAAAAATTCCTGGATCCGCCCCTGGTTTCTTTCAATTATTTCAAAACATACATTTACTATCCTCTACTAATCTCTGTATAGATCTAACGTTAGATTTCACACAAACGAAATAAAGTTGTTTACTCACCCAATGTTATATCCATTACTTGCGGAGAACTTGTCACTGTTTCCAAAATTTCCAGCATAATCCAACAATGTCTTGATAATAACTGTAAAGTTTAAAACTTTCAACGGGTCAAAAGCCGGGGTCAAAGGTCACAATCAGCTGTTTAACAAACACGAACGCAACGTATTTACACGAGCTAGGGGCCTATAGACCCCTATGCTTTTTGTCTACTTGTTAACGATATCTTCACACTAGTAGTACGCTGATAAAAAGTGATACTTCACAACCTTTGGCCACCATAGGCCAAGGAGCCCCAGGCCTAAACTCCTCCTGACTAGATGCGACATTAACTCTAGATCTAGACTCTATAAATACCGTTTCCCATCTCGATGGATACTTGTTGAGGTTCTGGTCCATTTGGCCTTGGTCATGTTAGTCCGCACGATCCGAGCCCGCGCTGCCTGATCAGAGGTTGTGATGTTTTGTTTCGGCCTGCAGAACTAGCTGCATGATATACTGTAGGTCTAGGCCTACCTCGCATACGGAGTGGCTCATTTCGTCCCGACTCCTTCGCTTCGCGTGGTATGCGTTCCGTGTACAAATTAAAGGTAGCGCATTCGAAAACGCGCCACAAAAGCGCGCCTTGTCTAGCTAGCTCGAGGCGCCAAATTCTTGACAAATTTAATGTAAACGAGCTTATTATTGTTGCGTCACAATGGCCAGCGCAAATCCAAAACAATCGCGTGGTATGCGTTCCGTCTACAAAAGGGAGCGCATTCGGAAACGCACCACAAAAGCGCCTTGTTTAGTATAGTATTAATGACTGCTTTGAGAGAAATAGTTGTTTTTATACGCTCAAGGGAAGGTTAGAATTGTGATATTACCCGAGGCGTGCCGAGGGCAATAGCCCAATTGTAACCTTCCCGAGAGCGTATAAAAACAACTATTTCTCGAATATTAAAGCAGTCATTAATACTTTTATATGCCAAAAAAAAAGAGTCAACTTATGACACCATCTTAGCCTTTATCTAGTTTATCTGCACGATTGTTTTTTATGAGTGTATCTTTGAGAGTAGACTAAAAAATGAAAATTAAAAAATAAAAAACTTTTGTCGAAGATGGGATCCGATCTCTTGCGTGCAAACGATGATGTGACCAAAATCACCGCCTTAGACCGCTCGGTCATCGCACACTGATAAAATTCTGTGTAGTTTTCTCTGCTGTATACATTAAAATGGATTGAAAACGGCTTCGCGTGCTGGATGCTTCGCGGCAGCTCCATTAAACGGACCCTTCTTTTACTTTTGCAAGGCATTGGCACGAACTTAGATAAAGATCTATCGGCAGATGTTGTTTTTGGAAGTTTATTTTCGTCTTCATGTCAACAATGCAAGATAAAACTGTCGCTAAGAATGATCGAGATTCAATTGTATTGAAATTACCGACCAATTCTTCGCACACGTGCAGTATCCTCGATCGCTCAGACCAATTTTTAACATGTGAACCTATGGGTATTTTACCAAGACTGAACTATTTTTTTTAAACTATTACATGGGTTTGGAATTTTACCGGGAATTTTACAGGAATAGTTAAAGTTGTTTATGACTGCAATTTCGACCAATCAGATGGCTGGATTTCCTAAGTGAGGTATATAATCTTCTTTATTTGATTGTAACATTGGTGTGCGACAAGGAGGAAATTTATCTCCGATGCTATTTGCCCTTTTTTTTAAATGACTTCAAACATTTCATTTGCGAAAAGTTTGGAGGGATAAATATTCTTCCTGACAAGATTGATGCAGCTGCAAATCTAAATGGT